CTCCAGTGAGAGAGTGTGTGTTCCATTCCAACAATCTATCTCTTGAAGTGTAAGTGGGATGCATGGAATTCTCCGTTTGGTCTGGATACCCTTAATGATGGATTTCTGTACATGTCAGACATCTGGCCAACAAAAAAAATTCAAAACTGCAATATCCTGCAATCAGTCACGGAATTAATGGCCAATTTTATCTTTTAAAATTTATTGGCCAGGACACCTGGAGAAACCTCTTTCTCTTTTGGAACAGTGTCATGGGATCTCTAATCTTTTAATCTATTTTCAAACAAAGCTGTTCCAAGAGCTCATCCAGTAATACATGGGAATTTCCATGTCTAGATGAATGCATGGAACTCTCAGTCCGATTTGGATAATCATGTGATGAATTGCTAACATGTGTCAGATCAAAAAAGGGTTTAATCTGCTCTCCTGCTGGCTCAACAGCTAATTGACTGGTGTTGGAAGATGTCTGATGACCTGCCCATTCTCACCTACGTAACTCCCCTTCTTTTAATACTAAAAGGCTACCAGTTCTGATACATGTCTTAAAACAGTATATAAAAAATCTAGCCCCTTTAACCAACCTTAAAACTGAAGTTACACTAGTAGATACTGTGTCATAAACATGATATACCAATTGGCCTACAGAAAAATGTTTCTTTAACACCAAAAAAGTAGATGGTGTCTAAATTGCAGCGTTCGATAAGGAATCTTTGCCTTGCTCAGCTGTTAGCACTCATGCCTCAAAGTCAAAACAGACTAGGCTTTTGTGTATTTTGTGTTTCCCTTACAGAAACATAACATAATATTTATGTGTTATGGAGGGAGTGGGTGGGCTAGATGAAACAGAAGAGAGTGGGGGCACGAGTGGAATCAGCCAGTGGGCAGCCAATTGGACCACCCTAACACTCTAGTCCAGTGCCATGACTGCTATCCCCTCTCCACCCCCACCCCACCCGCACCGTCTCCCGTAGCCTGCGGGCTGATGCTGTCCTGCTGATCGCTCACTCCCGGTCCCTGCGTGCGCGTTTTGGCTGCTGCCCCGACCAGAGCTGCTCCCCCTGAAAATGTTCTTGCTCCTATGCCCCACATTCCACTACTCCCACTCTGTCCTTCTCTCCCGCCGGCCTCCTTGCCTTCTCTCTCCTGGACCCCATCATTACCTCACTCTGCTCCAGCCTGGGCAACCTCTGCCAGGCCCATCGTGGCTCCTGGCGTTGGTTGTCCCAGAGCAGCCACCCCAGCTGTCCCATCGCTCACTCTCTCCGCGCCAACTGCCTCCGAAAGGCAAACACCCATTCCCCCTCCCTTAACCATACCCTCCCCAACTATCCCTGCTCATCAAACTCCACGGTCATTTCTCCCCCTCAACCCCAGATCCTTTCTATACCAATCTCTCCTCCATCCCCCCACCCCACCAGCATCTCCCTCCAAAATGTCCCTTTCACAGGCCAAATCTGACTTTTACTCCAAAATCATCCTGGAGGCAAACAATAATCCAAAGATGCTGTTTTGCACTGTCCATCACCTCCTCCATGCATCCCCTCTAGCTCCCTCTATTTTCAAATCAAACGCCAAGTGCGAAGAGGTCCTAGACTTCTTCGCCTCAAAGATTGAAAACATTCGCTTGGCTGCATCGTGCCCCGGCCACCCCCCCAGGTCCCCTACCACCCCACCCAGACCATCCACACTCCCTTCTCTCACACTACCGGCCCATCTCCAATCTACCCTTCCTTGCCAAAGTCCTAGAATGCATTGTTGCAGGTCAACTTCGATAACACCTCTCCCTCCACTCCCTCCTCGAGCTTCTGCAGTCTGTTTTTCACACTGTCCACAGCACAGAGACAGCGCTTGTCAAAGTCACAAATGACGTCCTCTCTATCTGTGACCAGGGCTCTCTCTGCCATGTTCGCCACAGTCGACCATGCCATCCTCCTCCACTGCCTCTCCTCCCTCATCCACCTTCGTGGGACTGCACTCGCATGATTTGAGTCCTACTTAACTAACTGCTTCCACTTTATTTCAGCAAATGGTTTCTCCTCCCACTCTCATCTGGTCACCTGCGATGTCATCCCGTAGAAATGGGGTAAACTTCCACATGTATGCGGATGGCACACAAATCTACTTTGCCTCCTCCAGTACCAGCTCTAGGTCCATCGGTATTCTATCAGCTTGTCTGGCAGACATAAGGGCCTGGATGAGTGCAAACTTCTTTCAGCTGAATTTGGACAAGACGGAAGCCATACTCCTTGGCTCCTGCCAATGTCTTTATGCCTGCGTATCTGAACTCTTCAACCTCCCTGGCTCTCCTTCACAATTACCGAACCAGTGCACAATCTAGGCATCCTGTTTGACCCCAGCTGTCCTTCCTCCCCCACATCCGTGTATTTATACAACGGAAGTTTTAGCTGCAGAGGCTCCGTGACCCTATCACCTTCTTCCCCACTGACTCCATTGGCTCCCCATCCCCCAGAGGATAGAGTCCAGAATCCTCGGCCTTGCCTTCAGAGCCCTCCATGGCGTTGCTCCTCCCTATCTCGGTGACTTGCTAACTCCTCATCGAGCTGTTGGCTCCCTTTACTCAGCAGGTTCTGACCTGCTCCACGTCCCCTGCCCGGCCAAATCCCTGACGGTCCCTACGTGAAAGGCGCTAAACAAATGTAAGTGTTGCTTTAGTTAATGAGCAGTGCTGAGTACTGGGCTCAGCCTTTGAGTATGATTAAGAGCCTTATAAGGGTAAAGTATGTGGTGCTCATAGAATTTCCCTTGTGTTTTAACAGTTTCGTAGAATAAATGTGAAGGGAAACAAGCCTCCGACAACAACAACAAAATTACATTTATAGAGCGCCTTTAACGTCGGGAGGACTTCCCAAGGCGCTGGACAGTCCGGGGTCAGGACCCCCGAGCATCGGGGAAGGCTGGGGTAGGGGTGAGGGAAGGCAGAGAGGCGGGAGGGCGACTGAAGGCACGATCGAAGAGGAGGCTCTTGAAACCGGCTTTGAAGGAGCCAAGGGAGGCAGTGAGGCAAAGGGACTGTGGGATGGAGTTCTAGACAGTTATAACAACTTCTAATTATGCAGCTGTCTTCAGATTAAAACATTCGACAATGCCGTGGTGAATTACTAGCAGGGAAATTCAGAGACTTAAAGGTGTTTAACAAAGGTTGAGACCTTGGTCACCATTGGTGACATAAGCTATAGACCAGGGTTCAACTAGCAGAGGGTCTGGGCTGGAATGCAGGACTGAAGAAGACCGCAGAAGCCGGGTGGGACAAGACAATTTGTAGACCAGGTGAAGAATCTTAAGCACGATCCTTCGAGCTGCTGCCTCCACCCTCGATCCCTATCAGACATCAAGTCCTGGATGAGAGCCATCTTTCTACAGTTGAACGTCAGCAAGATCGAGGCTCTCATGCGTGTCTCGCGCCAGCGCCTCCGCACCTCAGGTGCTGGCGGCTTCAGCCTCCGCGGACGCACAGCTGCACCTCACCAAGCCGGTCAGGAACCTGGGTGCCTTGTCGTGGAGACGTCTCGAAGCCCCTCAAAGAATATTCCGCAAAGGGAAGTGACCGTACATCTTGCCTGCCGAAACAAATGGGCGAGCACACCGCAAGGATTGTGCAGGTGGACAGACCCCAGTTAGTCACCTGAGCAGTTTGTACACCTGTGCGCGTTACCTTCAAACGTTTCAGGGCGTAGTAACCGTTTATCTTAATTGGGTTATTTGCAGTTTGTTTTGACTTTCAGTTTCACTTTTTGCGATGACGACGAGAGAGAGAGAGAGAGAGAAGGGGGGGGGGGGGGGGGGGGGAGTTCAGGGACGTTTAAAAACAGCAGACAGAGGGGGTGGGGGGGTGTTTTCTGTGAGGCATCGTGGCTGTTCCCTTTAGCATCAGCATCTCAGTCACCCCAGTAATACACACACACACACACCCACACACACCCACCCACACCCACACACATACACACCCACACACACACAGACCCACACACACATACACACCCACACACATACACACCCACACACACACACAGACCCACACACACACACACACATACACAGACCCACACACACACCCACCCACACACACACACACACACAGACCCACACACACACACCCACACACACACACATACACAGACCCACACACACACACACCCACACACACACACAGACCCACACACACACACAGACACAGACACACACACACACAGACTCTGTGCAGCTCTCATCCGCAATACCACACTCGCATTTTGCATTCATTTTGCTTTACTTTTTTTCCACCCGGAAATTTTTTTTAAAACAAGAGCGAAGGAGAGAGAGAGAGAGAGAGGAGGGAGTGCGCCGTTCTGCTGCTGCTCCATCAGAGAGAAGAGACTCCTCCTTTACCCCCCCCTGCACCCCCCCCCTGCACCCCCTCCTGCACCCCCTCCTGCACCCCCTCCCCCTGCACCCCCTCCTGCACCCCCTCCCCCTGCACCCCCTCCCCCCCTCCTGCACCCCCTCCTGCACCCCCTCCCCTGCACCCCCTCCCCTGCACCCCCTCCTGCACCCCTCCCCCTGCACCCCCTCCTGCACCCCTCCCCCTGCATCCCTCCCCCTGCACCCCCTCCCCTGCACCCCCTCCCCCTGCACCCCCTCCTGCACCCCCTCCTCCTGCACCCCCTCCTCCTGCACCCCCTCCCCCTGCACCCCCTCCCCCTGCACCCCCTCCTCCTGCACCCCCTCCCCCTGCACCCCCTCCCCCTGCACCCCCTCCTCCTGCACCCCCTCCTGCACCCTCCCCCTGCACCCCCTCCCCCTGCACCCCCTCCCCCTGCACCCCTCCCCCTGCACCCCCTCCCCCTGCACCCTCTCCCCCTGTGCCCAGAGGCGTGTTGGCAGCAGTGGGTGAGTGAGTGGGTGAGTGGGTGGGTGAGTGAGTGGGTGAGGGCTCTCGGTGACCATGAGCAGCGGCCAGTGGCCGTCCCTCGGGTGAGAAAGTCGGATGAGCGCTCTCGCGGCTCTCACCCTCACTGGGCTGTCGCTTATGCAGTTTGCTGTCTTCAAACAGGTATTTTTATACACATTTATTTTTATATATATATATATATATATATGCAGACACATCTCTATCTGCATCGCAAATCTAAACTGTGGCTTAGTGTTGCAGGGGTGGGTTTCTTTTTATGCATTTTTATATATATGTGTGTGTGTGGGGTGGGGGGGGTGTGTGGGGTGGGGGTGGGTGTCATTTTATATATAAATGTAGGTGTCTTCTTACGCACATGTGTGATTAAGAAATGTAAGAACGTAAAGGTTTGATGGGCAAAGGTTGTCCAAGGTCCATCCAGTTCACTTTCCGCCATCCAGGCGGTGGCATGTCATGTCATGTCATGTCCCAAACTATATGTTGTTTCCCAGAGACATTATCTCCTAACAGAAATCTATCTATAAGAACGTAAGATACCATATATATATATATATATACACATGTGTGTGCGTATGTGTATGTGTGCATTTATTTATATATAGTATATTTATATACGGCTTCAGAAAACATAATAATGGAATGGTACAGTTTCACTCTGCACTGCAGTGATCTGATATTAACAATGAACTTCGAGCTGCAAACTCTGAACTTCACACTGTAAAGCAGCGCCTTGTTCAACACTGGCTGGCGTGACTGATCTGATCCATCACACACTTTGTGCTTCAAGGTCACGGTGTGTTTTTGTTCCGGTATATTCTGTGCAAAAAGTCCTTTAGAGAATTCACATCCTGAATTTGTGGGTGTTTATCCACAGGATTCCTTCCTAAGTAAGCTGTAGGATAATATGGTAGAGCAGTTTTTTTTAATTTAGTGTTTAAAATAAAGCGCATTATTTACTTACTAAGTCTTCATGTGAAAAGTTTTATATCCCTGCTTCGCACTGAGTTTCCCAGTACAGTCTCAGTAATAGTTTTGCCCGCAAAATATAGAGTCAATTCACTTTATAGTATATTCTGTGATCCCTTTGGTGACGTCTCAAAAGACGTGATAAGGCACTATATCAAAATGCAAAGATTATTATTATAATATGGAATGTTACCAGCAATTTGCTGGGGAATGGGATTTCCAACTAATTCCCTCTTGAAAGCTGAAATGGGTCGTGCCTCAACCACATCCAGTGGGGAATTCATTCCCTGGCCTATCCTATCAACTCTATTGGCAGGAGTTTGTTCAGTTTGTGCAACTCACAATACTTATTCAAGGAAAACTGTATTTGTATTTGATACATTTAAATTTTAATTCCTGTTTAAAAACCTATTATATATTATATTTGTGAATGAGTGACTATTTGGTTAAACAATGGCTGGTGGTTTACATATTAAAGTGTCAGCCTTGCTCAGTAGCATGCTTCTAGGTCAGAGGGTTGCGGATTTAGGCCCAACGTTGGGACTTTAAACTCACAGTGTAGACTGACTCTGCAGCTGGAAGAGAACTGCATTGTTGGTGGTGCTGTCTTTTGGATGAGACGTGAAACTGAGGTCATGTCTGCCTGTTCAGTTGGACGTTAAAGCTCCCATGGGACTATCGAAAGAGAGAAGGGAATTTCTCCCAGTTTCCTGGCCTTTATTTCTCCAGATACAATTGGATAGAATGGAATAGAATTATTATTATTCATCATAATAATAAATACTCTTTGGTAGGAGGAGTCTTCAGGATTTAATAATCCTTAATTATCCTTGCATTTGATATAGCGCCTTTCATGTCAGGAAGATGTCTCAAAGCACTGCTCAGGATTTACTGTAAACTGTAGTTACTGTATTCTGTAGGTGGATGAGGCAGCCAGTTTCTGAACAGCAATGTCCCATCATGTCACTGATTTATAAATTATATATTGAAAGTGATAAAAACACCAATATTGCAATCTGTTTTACTGTTTATGACCATATTTATGTATCATGCTGTAAGGGTAATGTACTGAAATAATCTTTCCTGGAGGATAAAGGGCAGGGTGGAGATGTTATTTTGCTGCAAGAACACATGAATACGTGTGTATGAACTTAGTTCTTCAAGTCATAAATTTTACATCCCTGCTATACTGAGTTGCCCAGTAATAATTCGAGAGAATGGGGCAAGAGGAGGGGAATGGAATTTGAGTAAGTAGCCCTAGTGGGGAGTTAGCAATATGAAAGACACAATGGAGACCTTACAATCTCAGTTGGTGTAAACATTCTGTCACCGCTGTGCATAAGTACTGTTGAGTTGCTTCCCTGCATTGTTTCAGGGATTTATTTTGTTCAGCTGGGTGTCTGCACATGTGGATTACATCAGGATTTTACGTCTCAAAGCACATCACAGTGCTACCTGAGTACCTGTGCTGGGGGTGGAAAGTTGAAGAATGTGGTGAAGCGAAAGATGACCCAATGTGCGGTCAAAGAGGTATGTTTTAAGGCGGGCTTTGCACATGGGGGGTGGGGGGGAGTCAAAAGGGATTCCGGGATGGAATTCCAGAGAATGGGAGCAGAATGGCGGAAAGCTTACCTGCCGATGGTGGGGCAAATAGGGCAGGGGACATGATAGGGCAAGTCGATGTTTGTGAGTGAAGGGAGCGGCTGAGTTGGTAGGAATATAGGAGGTCACAAATGTGGGGTGGGGCAAAATCAATGGAGGGATTTAAAGGTGAGGATGAGGATCTTGAATTTGATCTGCTGGTAAATGGGGACCAAATGGAGCTGAGTGAGAATGGGGGTGATAGGCTCACACCGGAGTCTGCTGTGGGAGAGACAGGCTGTTGAGATCTGTATAAAATTGAAGGGCTTTGTAATCTTTCAGTGTGGTAAAGCTTTATTGAAATGCAAATGATTTCTTTCCTGCACTGGAGAATTCTGTGTATTCGTATGAGAGATATTTTAGCTGCTGAGGCTCCGTGACCCTATCACCCCCTTCCTCCCCTGGCTCCCAACATCCAGAGGATAGAGTTCAAAATCCTCGTGCTCGCCTTAGAAGCCATCCTTGGCTTTGCTTCTCCCTACCTTTGTAACCTGCTACCTCCACATCGACCTGTCTGCTCCCTTTGCTCAGTAGGCTCTGGCCTGCTCCACATCCCCCGCCTGGTCCACCTACCATCAGCAGTCAGGCCTTCTGCCTCCACCCTTTGGAACTCCATCCCACATTCCCTTTGCCTCGCTCCCTCAATTACCTCCTTCAAGGCATGTCTCAAGATCTTCCTCTTTGACTGCGCCTTCGGTCACCCTCCTACCCTTACCCTCCTTGCCCACCCACCTCTCCTGACCCTAACTCCGTGCTTGGGTCCAAATCCCTTGGGACATCCTTCCAACGTGAAAGGCGTTATACAAATGTAATTTGTTGTTGTTGCTTTTGCCAATGAGCAGTGCTGTGTTCTGGGCTCAGCCTGTGAGTATGATTAAGAGTCTTATAGGGGTAAAGTATCTACAACAACAACAACAACAATATTCCATTTATAAAGCGCCTTTCACGTCAGGAGGACGTCCCAAGGCGCTGCACAGTTGGGTCATGACCCGAGCAGGGGGGAAATGGTCAGGGTGAGGGAAGGGAGGGAGCGAGGAGGGGGGAAATGGTCAGGGTGAGGGGAGGGAAGGGAGGGAGCGAGGAGGGGAAGAGAGTCGAGAGGGGAGCTGAAGGCACGGTCAAAGAGAAAGGTTTTGAGACCGGCCTTGAAGGAGGAAAGGGAGGAAGCGGCGAAGGCACTGGGGGATGGAGTTCCAGAGCCTCGGGGCTGAGAGGCTGAAGGCCCGACCACCGATGGTAGGGCGGTTGGGGCGGGGGACGTGGAGCAGACCGGAGCCAGAGGAACGGAGGGTACGGGCAGGTAGGTAGGGGGATAGTAGGTTGGAGAGGTAGGAGGGAGCAAGGCCGTGAATGGCCTTGTAGGTGAGGATGAGGATCTTGAAATCAATCCTCTGGGGGATGGGGAGCCAGTGGAGGCGAGCGAGGGTGGGAGTGATGTGGTCCCGAAGCCTGGTGCGGGACAGTACACGAGCTGCAGAGTTCTGAATGACCTGCAGCTTGTGGAGGGAGGTGGCGGGAAGGCCGGCGAGGAGAGAGTTCCCATAGTCCAGCCTTGAGGTGACAAAGGCGTGGACCAGGGTTTCAGCAGCGTGAGGGGTGAGGTAATGCCGTAGTCTGGCGATGTTCCGGAGGTGATGGAAGGCGGTGCCAGTTGTGGTGCGGATGTGAGGGAGAAAGGACAGCTCAGGGTCGAACAAAACGCCGAGGTTCCTGACTGGCTTTGAGAGGTGGAGAGTGCAGCCTTGGATGCTGATGGTGTCAGCGCCTGAGGTGCGGAGGCGCTGACGTGAGCCAATCAGGAGGGCCTCGGTTTTTCGCACGTTGAGCTGAAGAAAGTTGTCTCTCGTCCAGGACTCGATGTCGGACAGGCAGCTGTCAGGACATCGGTGGTCGTGGAGTTGAGAGTAGAGGAGGAAAGGTAGAGTTGGGTGTCATCCGCATACATGTGGAAGTTAACTCCATGTCTGCGGATGATGTCACCGAGGGGGAGCATATAGAGGGTGAAGAGGAGGGGACCGAGGACAGAGCCCTGAGGGACACCACATGAGACAGTGCGGGGGGTGGAGGAGAAGCCATTCGTCGAGACGAAGTGAAGACGGTGAGAAAGGTACGACCTAAACCATTCAAGGACAGTGCCTTGAAGGTTGAGGTGGGAGGACAAGCGGTGGAGTAGGATAGCGTGGTCGACCGTATCGAATGCTGCCGATAGGTCGAGGAGGACGAGGAGACAGAGGGAGCCCTGGTCACAGATGGTCAGGATATCATTGGTGACCTTGACCAGGGCAGTTTCTGTGCTATGGGCAGCACGGAAACCTGACTGAAGGGGTTCGAAAAGAGAATGGGTGGAAAGGAAAGAGCGCAGTTGGGAGGCGACAACTCTTTCCAAGACCTTGGAGAGAAAGGGGAGGTTGGAGATGGGCCGGTAGCTTGATAGCTGCGACGCATCAAGGGAGGGTTTTTTCAGGGTGGGCGTGATGATGGCAGTTTTTAATGGAATGGGGACAGAGCCAGAGGAGAGGGACAGGTTGATGATGTCAGTGATATGTGGGGCAAGAAAGTGGAGCTGGGAGATAAGGAGTGGAGTGGGGATGGGGTCAAGGGAGCAGGTGGTTGGTTTTAGGGATAGGATGAGTTCAGTGACAGAGGGTGGGGAAACGGGTACGAAGGTGTGTAGGGGAGGATGGGTAGGAGTCGGAGTGTGGGAGGGAAGGGGTGGGTGGTGGGTGGAAGTTGGAGGGGAAGTGACCGCGGAGCGGATTCCCTTGATCTTGGATTCAAGGAAATCCAGCATCTCCTCGCAGTGAAGGTTGGAGGAGATGACCTGCGCGGGGTGGCGGGGGGGACGGAGGAGTCGGGTTGTGGTGGAAAACAGTAGCCTGGGGTTGTTCTTCGCCTCCAGGATTATCCTGGAGTAGAAGGACGACTTGGCCGAGGCTAGAGTGGAGCGGTAAATTTTGAGGAGGTCCAGCCAGATTTGTCGGTGGACCGTTAGGCCAGATTTGACACAGGTGCGTTCAGCAGCCCGCACCTGGCTTTTCAGTGAGCGGAGGTGGGTGGTGTACCAGGGGGAGGAGCGGGAGTAGGAGACAGTGCGGGAAGTGATGGGGGCAAGAGTATCGAGTGTGGAGGAGAGGGTATTGTGGAGGAGGGAGAGAGGAGAAGAGGGGTCGGTGAGGGTTGAAGGCCAGAGGGAGAGGAGTTCAGAGGACTCCAAGGCATCGGTTAGGGATTGTGGGGGTAACTTCTTCCAAGGGCGGTAGAAGATGGTGGTGGGTCTGGTGGAGGTGGGGAGGGGGGTGGAGGTGGTGAAGGAGATGAAGTAGTGGTCAGAGATGGCCTTGTCGGTAATAGTGACATCCGAGACACTGAGGCCCCGGGTGATCACCAAATCGAGTGGGTGGCCGTGACTGTGAGTGGGGGAGTTTATGTGTAAGGAGAGGTTGAGTGAGGAGAGCAGGGAAGAGAAGTCTGTGGAGATGGAGCAGGAGGGGGTGAAGTGTAGGTTAAAGTCGCCCAGGATGATGAGGCGATCGGAGCAGAGGCAAAGAGATGTGAGGAGTGTTGAAATGTCAGAGATGAAGGTGGGAGAGGTTTTAGGGGGCCGGTAGAGGAGGAGGATTTTAAGGGAGAGGAATGAGGGGTGGGAGAGGGTGAGGTGCTCAAAGGAGGGGAAAGAGCCAGTGGAGTAGGGGGATAGGGCAAGTGGTGTCCTTGAGATAAGGGCAACACCACCGCCACGGCGGTTGGGGCGGGGGATGTGGTGGGAGGTGTAGCCGGGTGGCGTGGCCTCCGTGAGGGGGAAGGTGTCGCCTGGGGTGAGCCAGGTTTCTGTTAAGGCCATGATATCAACGTTCTCATCAAGGATGAGATCGTTGATGACCAGGGCCTTGTTGCAGAGGGAGCGGACATTTTGCAGTCCGATGTGGAGGGAGCGGTTGACAGAAGGGTGTGTGGGAGGGGAGGGGGGTCCAGGTTGTGAGGCAGGGGTGGGGGGAATGGGGATGAGGGAGGAGAGGTTGACTCCCCGGGTCTGTGTCCGGGGTGGTGGCGAGTGTGGTGGGGAATGGGGCAGTCGGTGTGGCTGCTGCTGGACAGCCAACGCCGAGTGCCGCGGTGAGCCCGGCGGAGGATTCCCAGACTGGAGCAGAGGGAGGTTGTGGGAGGGTCAAGTGGGGATAGAAGACGAGAGGGACGGAGAGAGAGGAGGAGAGAGCGGGAGAGATGCAGAGGGGGGAGGGTTTGGGGGGAGAGAGGAAGGGGGCGGGAGGGAGGGGGTGAGGGGGCTCGGGTCAAAGCGGCAGCCATAGTGCGCACGCGGGGACCGGGAGCGAGCGGTCAGGTGGATGGCATTATCCCGCAGAGTCCTGTAGCTCAGTGGTTAGAGCACTCGCTTTGCAAGTGAGAGACCTGAGTTCAATTCCAGGCAGAGGGCGAAACCTTGGGCAAGTTTCCTTACTCCACACAGAGCCTAATAATAATCCCTCCAAAACCAAAAACAATAATAAATTGGTCATTTTCAATCTACGACTGCTTGTGGGACATTGCTGTGCGCAATTGGCTGCCGCGTTCGCCCACAAATATACAGTCAATTCACTTTACTGTGTGTTCTGTGAAGCGCTTTGGGATGTCCTCCTGACATGAAAAGCGCTATATCAAATGCAAGGATTATTATTATTATTATTATAGATTGGGGCAGCGAACGCAACAGGACCATAGTGGGCTCTGATGTGAGCCCTGGGGGAGGTGGGGGGCGCAGAGGGTCTATTTATTTATTTATTTATTTATTTTTTGCGCGCGCACTCACCTGAAAACTAATCTGTGACGTCGCAGTTCCCCCGCTCCGCCCCCACACCGCCCCCCCCCCCCCCCCCCCGGGTCTGAACTCACTCCGGCGTCGAGTTTAAGTACCTGGGTCAGTAGGCCCAGGCTCCTCCCCGCGCTGTCCTGCCGCCGCTCCCCGACTGGCTGAACTCGCTCCGGCGTCGAGTTTAAGTACCTGGGTCAGTAGGCCCAGGCTCAGGCTCAGTAGGCCCAGGCTCCTCCCCGCGCTGTCCTGCCGCCGCTCCCCGATCTAGCGCTTATAGTATTTCTCTTGGGTTAAGTAACAGTTTTGTAGCGTGAATGTGAAGGGAAACAAGCCTCTGACAGTTATAGCAGCTCTCATCAGATTGAAGCATTTGAAAATGCGAATGACTAGCAGGGAAATGCAGAGATTTAAAGGTGTTCAGCAAAGGTTGAGACCTTGGTCACCAATGGTGAAATAAGCTATAGACCAGGGTTGAACTGGCCCAGGGTATGGCCTGGAATAGGGCTGGAAAAGATCGCAGAAGCAGGGTGGGACAAGACCATTTGTAGACCAGGTCAAGGATCTTAAGCACGTTCTTCTGAGGTGCTGGGATCCCATCGACATTGGTGGGAATGAGCTTTGAGCGGAAGAGTATAAGGGCTGCAGAGTTCATGCAAAAAGACTGAAAACATATGCATGTGTGTTGATCACGTGGAATAAGTGGAAACAATGGAAAGTTCAGATAACCTGTTTTCTCAGAATGCAGGAAGGAAGCCATTTAATTTGGAAGTTGCTATAACTGTGGAGTCCTGTAGCTTATTGTTTGGAGCATTCGCCTCGCAAGCGAGAAGACCTGGATTCCATTCCTGTGCAGGGTGAAATGTTAGCCAAATTTCCTTACTCCAGAACACCTAGCAGTAAATAGGAACCCGGTTGTTTGTCGAATGGTGGATTGCTTTTCCGGGGGTAATAATCCCTTCAAAAATAAATAAATAAATACATAATAATAATTTGGTCACTGAATCCATGACTGTGTTTGGGATACTGCTGTACGCAATTCACTTGACAGTATATTCTGCGAAGCTCTTCGAGACCTCTCAAAGTCGTGATGCGGCACATTATCAAATGCAAGGATTATTATTATCAAATGCAAGGATTATTATTAAATGCAAGGATTATTATTATTACAGCTATTTTTGAGGTGTTGCCTTTCAGCAAAAGCTATTAATTGGTGTTTATATTTGCCTGTTCAGATACTCAAGATCCCATGGTACTATTTTTGAAGGACAGAGCAACTTCCTGGTTTCCTCGCTAGTAGCTTTACTTCATTGAAATTCATCTGCAAAAAGCCGATTCAGTTTAGTTGAATAGCAATTTCAGGATGGACACAGAAATTGTTTCTTTAAATGGAGGAACAGAAGTGTTGTTGAAATGCAGTGATTCTGTATTAGGAGATACTACTAGCCTCTGAGTTACTGCCAGGGAATCATTATTAATCATTCAGCTTGCAAAATGCCTTTTTTTAACCCAATTTCTACAGCAACAACTTGTATTAATACAGCACCATTCACACAGGATAGTGTATCAGAGTGCTATACACTGGCAGGGTTGGACATCGAGTAAGGGAAGGGGAGAAGAAGGAGGCGATATGGTCGTGATCCAAGAAGTACATTTTAAGGAGAGTATTAAAGGTGGATAAAGAGGGGATGAGGTGTTTGCCTGCCATGTTTCGCCCCCATAATATGTGGAGTCCTGTAGCTCAGTGGTTAGAGCACTCGCTTTGCAAGTGAGAGACCTGAGTTCATTTCCAGGCAGGGCGAAACCTTGGGCAAGTTTCCTTACTCCACACGCCTAATAATAATCCCTCCAAAAAAACAAAAACAATAATAAATTGGTCATTTTCAATCTACGACTGTTTGTGGGACATTGCTGTGCGCAATTGGCTGCCGCGTTCGCCCACAAATATACAGTCAATTCACTTTACAGTGTGTTCTGTGAAGCGCTTTGGGACGTCCTCCTGACGTGAAAAGCGCTATATCAAATGCAAGGATTATTAATATACATTCAATTGACTTTACAGTATATTTTGTGAAGAGCTTTCAGATGTCTCAAATATGTGATAAGAAGCTATATAAAATGCAAGAATTATTATATTATTATTATATATCAGCAGTGAGACTGAGGATGAGCAACTCTCATCTGAACTGCGGTCCTGTGTCGTGCAGTGGCAACAGGATTCAACGAAATCTAGTTTAATCTGCAGATAGAAAATATTAAATATGGGTTGAATCTATGAGTACAAAATATTAAATGTGGAATGTATCTTTAAATGGAAAACTGTTCTCCCCAAGTATTTTTCCATCCCGCTCCCGCCTGGTCAGGTGCAGCCTATCCCAAGGGTCCATTCCTGACCCCCTTCTTTTCCTTATTGACATGCTCCGTCTCTGCGATATCATCCGCAGATGTGAGGTCAACTTCCACAAATATGTGTTGACTCCCAAATCTGCTACTCATACAGCTGCTATCCATTTCCACTGATGTTCTGTCAGCTTGTTTGTCAGACATTAAGACCTGGATGATTGTAAATGTCCTGCAGTTGAATGTCGACAAGACGGAAACCATGCTTCTCGCCTCCCGTCAACGTCTTCGTTCCTGCAGCTCTGACCTCCTCGACAGTCAATTCACTTTACAGTTTTTCTATGAAGCGCTTTGAGACGTCTAGAAGACGTGAAAAGTGCTATATCTAATGCAAGGATTATTATTATATTATTAAAAAAGGAATTTTTTCTTTTACTGATTACTATGTATCTTTTTTTTCTGCAGAGACACGTGAAGCGGGTTTGTTTCTGCTGTTATCTCAACCTTACATTGGACGTTTTCACCTTTATAAACACTGAGGCTGGGCTTTGTCTACTTTTGCTATGGTAATATTTTAAATGTTTATTTATTATATCGTAAAAGGCAATATAAATGTTCACCCAAACTATATAAAATCTTTCATTTGCTGAAAAGGTAACATAATGCTTTCATCTGTAAAATCAGGAAACATTGCTGTTAAAATTTTAAAACCCGGCTATTATTTAATAATATTGATTATCATTATTATTATTATTATCAAATGCAGTATTGGCTTTCTGTCATCCTTGTAGATAATATTAATTTTTAAATATTTAAACCTCTCCCCCCCAATTTATCAGTCTCTTTTAGATGTACTATATGTAACTCTAGTTCAAAGCTGTACACTGTTATACATGGAGAAGAGACCGTTTGATGACCCCTTGTTTCAAGAATGCAAGTTAACATTTTTACTGTCATATTATTTCTGTAAGAAATAGATTGATGGAATCTTGCAACCGTTTATATATTTCGCATCTGAAATGCGTAATGGTTGAACCCTTCATGGTTCTGGCCATGAATGGTTCAGATCGTACCTCTCACACCACCTCCACTTCATCTCCACAAACGGTTTCTCCTCTAACTTCTGCACCGTCTTGTGCGGCATTCCTCAGGGCTCTGTCCTTGGTTCCCTCCTCTTCAATATCTATATACTCCCTCTTGGTGACATCATCCGCACACATGGGGTATCAGCTTCCACATGTATGCGGATGAGACCAAATTGTACCATCCTTGACTCCAGGACCACTGCTGTCCTGACAGAATGTCTATCAGACATCAAGTCCTGGATGAGAACTAACTTTCTACAGTTGAACGTCAACAAGACCGAGGCTCTCCTGATTGGTTCCGGTCAGCGCCTCCTCACCTCAGGGGCTGACAGCATCACCATCCAACGATGCACACTCCACCTTACTGAGCCAGTCCGGAACTTTGGCATCTTGTTTGACCCTCAACTATCCTTTCTACCCCACATGTCTGCTATGACCTGCTCTGCCTTCCCCCACCTCTGCAACATCGCCCGGCTCCGCCATTGTCTTAAACTGCAGGCCGCCAAAACCCAGATACACACATTCATACCATCAAGGCTTGACTATGAAAACTCCCTGCTTGTTGGCCTCCCCAACTCCTCCCTCCATAGGCAAATCATCCAGAACTCTGCAACCCGTGTCTTCTCCCATACCAGGCTCCATGACCCTATCACACCATCCTCGCCCGACTACACTGGCTTCCAATCACACAGAGGATACAGTTCAAGATCCTGTTCCTCACCTTCAAAACCCTCTATCGCCTGGCTCCCCCCTACCTCTGCGACCTCCTAACCCCCTACCATCTTGCCGGCTCCCTCTGCTCAGCGGTCTCCGGCTTGCTTCACATCCCCCGCCTCGCCCGTCCCAGCATTGGCGGGGGGGCCTTTAGCCACTCTACCCCCACCCTCTGGAACTCTGTCCCTCAGTCCCTCTGTCTCGCTGCCTCCCTTGCCTCCTTCAAGACCCATTTCAAGACCTCATCAACCATGCTTTCAATCACCCTACTTTTGCCCAGAAAAATACTTTTACATGCACCAAGACAGAACAAGAGGACAAAGGTTTGGAGTTGCAAGGGGCAATTTCGGGTTAGAGGCGAGGAAGTATTTCTTTATTCAGTGGCTAATCAATGAATAACCAAAATCATCGAAACTACAATTATGATCCTCTGTCAGAACTATATGTAAAAACCTGCTGCGGATGTGTTGTGGTATGAATGGAAATCAATTCAGAATTAGTTTAATCAAAATGTTCCTTTAAAACGTTGCAGCTGATCTCTGGAAAGTCATTTGTCACAGTGGCTGTTTAGAGTATGGAAGTCCAATCTTTTGCTGCCTAGGGTTGGATGCTCTATTTAAGAAGTGACCGTAGGACACACAAGCAATATTTTTGTATTTCCCATTTAAGGGCTATAGAAGGAGCAGGTGGGCCAGATGATATGGAGGAAGAGGGGGGACCCGGATCAATCTGGCCCATGGATAAAACCAGTTGGACCAATCTGGTTTAGAGTAACATTAAGTAAAACTAACCAGCTGGCAGATATTTAACAAAAGCTACACTGTGTGGTACTAATCAGCAGTTGTTTGACTCTGGCCAGCTGGAGTTTGGCATTGGCTAGAGAGAGTTTGATCTGGTTAATGGGAATTTAGCACTGGCTCGTGAGTGTTTGGCACTGGTCAGTTTTACAACAACAATAAAATTACATTTGTATAGTGCCTTTCATGTCGGGAGGATGTCCCAAGGCGCTAGACAATCAGCGTTTCGGACTTGAGCTGGGGGTTGGGATTGGGGAGGGTTGAGAGCAGGGGAACAAGGAGGGTGACTGAAGGCACGATCGAAGAGGAGGGTCTTGAGACGGGTCTTGAAGGAGGCAAGGGAGGCGGCAGGGCGAAGGGGCTGTGGGATGGAGTTCCAGAGGGTAGGGACAGAGTGGCAGAAGGTCTGCCCGTCAATGGTAGGACGGACGAGACGGGGACGTGAAGCAGTCTATAGCCCACTGAGTGGTGGGAGTGGGCAGGTTGGTAGGTGGTTAGAAGGTCACAGAGGTAGGGGGGAGCAAGACCATGGAGGCCTTTGAAGGTGAGGGCCAGAATCTTGAACTGTATCCTCTGTGTGATGGGAAGCCAGTGGAGTCAGGCGAGGATGGGGGTGATAGGGTCGCGGATCCTGGTGTGGGAGAGGACACAGGCTGCAGAGTTCTGGATGATCTGCAGCCTATGGAGGGAGGAGTTGGGGAGGCTGACAAGCAGTGAGTTTGCATAGTCGAGCCTGGATGTTATGAATGCGTGTATGAGGGTCTCAGCGGCCTGTGGTGGGAGACAGTGGCAGAGCCCGGCGATGTTGCGGAGGTGGGGGACATGGCCACATATGTGGAATAGAAATGATAGTTGAGGGTCAAACAAGGTTCTGGACTGGCTTAGTAAGGTGGAGTATGCATCTTTGGATGGTGATGATGTTAATGCCTGAGTTATGGAGGTGCTGACGGGAGCCAATCAGGAGAGCCTCGGTCTTGTTGACATTCAACTGTAGAAAGTTAGCTCTCATCCAGGACTTGATGTCTGACAGACATTCTGTCAGAACAGCAGTGGTCCTGGAGTCGAGGGTGGAGGCAGAGAGATCTCTATTGGGTGTCATCCGCATACATGTGAAAATTGACCCCATGTCTGCAGATGATGTTACCAAGAGGGAGCATATAGATATTGAAAAGGAGGGGACCAAGGACAGAGCCCTGAGGACCTCTCTATGAGATGGTGCGGGGGCTAGAGGAGAAGCCATTTGTGGAGATGAAGTGGAGACGATGTGAGAGGTGGGATCTGAACCATTCAAGAAAAGAACCATGAAGGTTGAGGTGAGAGGAGAGGCGGTTGAGGAGTATAGAGTGGTCAACGGCATCGAAGGCAGCAGGGAGGTCCAGGAAGACGAGGAGGCAGAGGGAGCCATGTTTGCAGATGGGCAAAATGTCATTTGTCACTTTGACCAAAGCTATTTCTGCGCTATGGGCAGCACAGAAACCCAAATGAAGGGGTTTGTGAAGGGAGTGCAGGAGAGGAAGGAGCAAAGCTGGTAAGCAACGACTCGTTCCAGGACCTTGGGGAGAAAATGGAGGTTGGAGACGGGGGCAGTAGTTTGAGAGCATGGATGGGTCCAGGGTTTGTTTTTGAAGGATAGGAGTGATGATAGCCATTTTTAGAGAGGGTGGGAATGGTGCCAGTGGACAGAGAGAGGTTAATGATGTCTGTGAGTAGTGGGGGGGCAAGGAGGTGGAGATGGGAGGTAAAGAGAGGGATAGGGACTCCTTGATAGCTGTCAAGGAGTTTTAGCAACATAAACTGGACAAACCATTTGCGGTATTTAGATGAAGGTTATAATGAACTGCGGAACAAGATGGGAATAGCTGTGTCCGTAAAGTTTATTTTTATTTGTAATCTGAGCAAGATAGGTGTCAAGGAGGGGAAACACCTCATGACATTATTAGCTGTAAAGAGAAGCAGTTTTCTTTTAGTCACTGCCAGAGAGAGGATCTAAAGCATTCTCAGATCTAACTGTTCTTGGCATATTACATCCAGCTCTGTTAGTTACATTAGCTGAGCAATTTGAACTTTGACTCCTCGATTTGACCATCGGCGGACGTGCCTTCAGCCTCTTTGCCCACATCCTTTACAGCCCCATCCCACAGACCCTTCACCTCGCTTCTTCCATTTCCTCCTTCAAGGCCCAGCTCAAGACTCTCCTCTTTTACCATGCCTTCAGTTATCCTCCCTGCCCCACACCCCTTCTGATCCCAACCTCCAGCTTGGATTCAAAAGTGGATGGGAGAGGAGAGGAGATCGAGGATGATGCAATAGCTGACATTGTCAAAGCCATGAAAGCTATCTGTGTTCTGTGCTTTTTTTAATTAGTGGGAGGGTGTGTAGTAATTGACACTTACTTCACAAGATAACAAAATTGGTCTGAATGAAGAAAGTTCTTTGTTTACCTGATCTCATCCCTCCACCCTAATGTCTCCACATCACTGCATCAAGCTGCTTTTTAAATGAGTCCAATGTCCTGACCTCTACACCCCTCCTAGGCAACCTGTTCTAGTCGTAAACAAAAAGGTTTCCTGGTGTCTGACTTGAAGTTGCCCTTTACAACTCTAAACCTATGTCCTCTTGTCCTGTGGTTAAGATACATCCCAAAATATTGATCCGTGTTTATTTTTTCAGTGTTGTACACATGATTATCAGTGTGGCTTTTATCATGGTTTGAATGGTGCTGCGCAACTCGTGGAAAGCATCAATACAAAGATCTAAAAACACACCTACATCCTTGATGGGAGAGTGGGGCTAGTTGGATAGCTCTTTCAATGAGCATTTACAGGGCTATGGGGTAAAAGTGGGGGATTGTGACTTATTGAATAGCTTTTTCAAAGAGCCGGCATAGGCACGATGGGCCGAATAGCCCCCTTCTGTGCTATAAATTCTGTGATCCTATAAAAGAATATGCTGCTGTAGAATCCACTGTCTGAAATCAGAAGCTTAGAGGCACAAAGTTCAACTCAGGAATTTTGCTTTATAATAACATAATAATCCTTGCATTTGATATTGTGAATTATCACGTCTTCTAGACGTCTCACAGAATATACTGTAAAGTGAATTGACTGTATATTTTGAGGGAGAATCGCCGCAGCCAATTGTGCACAGCAGTATCCCACAAACAGTCGTGGATTGAGTGACCAAATTATTATTATTTTTTTTGATGGGATTATTATCCTCGGAAAAGCGATCCGTCAATCGACTAACAACTGGGTTCCTACTTACTGCTAGGTAAACAGGCGTGTGGAGTAAGGAAACTTGCCCAACATTTCGCCCTGCCCTGTTTGGGAATCAAACCCAGAACCTCTCGCTTGTGGGGCGAACGCTCTAACAACTAAACTACAGAACTCCACATTGAAGCTTTGCAGTCTCATTTATTACAGTGCAATGTGATGAGCTCCAGGGTAGAAGCTGGTGCCAGCGCAGGTACAATAGGCTTAACAGCCTCCTATTGTGATTGTTAAATTGAGTCACATGTGTTTGAAACATAATGTTTCAGTAAGCTCGATCTGTGCGTCTAGAAGACGTGAAAAGCGCTATATCAAATGCAAGCATTATTATTATATGACACCAGCCAAAAATTATTAAGGTGAAGTTAACAATAATATAAATTGGAGCGATAAATTTTACTCACTGGGTGCTGTGAAATCTGTAACATATTGTAAACTGAGATCCCAGGAAAACAGATTGACTATTTCTGTGATTAGAATTGCGTGGAAATATCACAATTTTCATTTGTTTATGCCAAAAGATGACACCAATGTTTTATTGACGATAGGAACACTAAGCCTGCTTCATGTCCCTTTCCTGATGCGCCCCACAGTTGTGGGCACACTTTCAGCTATTGTGTCCCCGCTCTCTAAAACTCCAACCCAGAATCCCGCCACCCAAACCTTTGAAGTCTTTCTTCGGCCTATATTTTTGACTGTGCTTTTGGTTACCTTTTCTACACCGTCGTTTAGCTTGGGTTCCCTCTGGAACTCCATCCCGGAGCCCCTCTGTCTTGTCCTCTTACCTCCTTCAAGGCCCGTCTCAAGACCTTCCTTTTTGACTGTGCATCTTCTCTCCTCCACCCCCCTTACCCTCCACCCCTGTCTGATCCCAACTCGCAACTTGGGTGCAAGCCCCACATTGTCCAACCCCTTGGGACTTCCTCCTGATGTGAAAGGCGCTATATTAATGCGATTTGTTATCATTATCGTTATCATTGTTGTTGTTGGGTTATTTCCAGTCAGATATTTAAAGCGTATTTTAAGATATCGTCATGTTGTAAAAGGAGCTACAATGCAAAGTTAGAATTGCTCTTTATTGTTGTAAGAACTGGTAAAGGGGGATTCTTTATCTCAAACTAAAGGCACGTGACCAGCAGTGACCTGATTTCCAGGAGGCAGTTATCAAGTTCATGTATGTTCCAACAGTTGGTTTCAATATAAACTGATATCAAGATCTATAAATTTCCCGCCCATCCGAGGATTACCCTTAAAATCTTTGAACCTTGCAATTGAAGCAATTGAAAAATCAATGATTCTTTCACTGTGATCTTGATGACTGTCTCATGGTGGATGGTATGAACTGGCTTGCGGTGCAACTGATAATGCTCAAGGTCCCATATTTAAAGATTGGATCTCTTATTATCATTTATGACCCACTGGGTACCAGCCTGGAACAGTTGGTATCATTTTCACCTCTGAATTCAAGCCCCACATTGGAACTCTAGGTTGACACTCAAATACAGTGCTGTGGGAATGCTGCATTGATGGAGGTGCCTTCCTTTGGATGAGGTGTTAAAAGACACTCCTGTCAATCTGCCTGTACAGGTGGATATTAAAGATCCCATGTCATAATTTGAAAAGAGAAGGGAGTTTCTCTCGGTGTCCTGGCCAACAAATCCCTCAAATAAAATTGGTCATTTATTTCACGACTCTTTGTGGATCATTACTATGTGCAAATTGGCTACCACTTTCGCCTTTAAAATACAGTCACATTAAACCGTGTGATGTGCTTTGAGATGTTCTCCTGGCATGGAAAGTACTATATAAAAATGCAAGGATTGTTGTCTTCTCAAGCCATAAAGCAAAACCAGGAAATGAGTCCTGCATGTTCAGACCTTACTTAACGCACTCAAGATACAACTTGAGGAAACTTCATCAATTCTTAACTTATAAACTTATAACTTATACATATAACTTATGTTGTCGGGGGTGATCTGATGACATAGATGCTTTCTTTAGTGTGGGAAGCTCACTAGCTTTCTGCAGCATGGACAGCTCGATTGCTTCCCATACAACCCTTTATAACATGGGTAGAATTTTATGGTCAACAACCCCTATCCTTCCCCAACTGCTGCATTACAATGGAATTCTGTTGTATACATGCATTCAAATGTATATTTTGGTTATTTGTTTTCTTTTTGCATTTTACAGCAGTCTTAGTGTGTGTCTGCCCAAAGTGGAAGGGGATTCCACTACCAAGCTCGACAAAAAGCATGGTGCGATGAGAGAAATGATGTCAACATTGATGAATTTAAACGTTAGTATTGATATTTCTTTTACTAAATAACTCACTTTTTTTGTTGAAGGCAGTGAACAAGTGTAAGTACAGTCTAATGTCCAGGGTTTGCCTACAAAAATACGCAGTCACTACACTTTACAGTGAATCCTGTGAAGCGCTTTGAGGTGTCCTCCTGATGTGAAAGGCACTATATCAAAAGCAACGATTATTATAAGATACAGAACATTGTTCTGAGCAGGAGAATTGCTGATGTTGAAATCATATCTAGTGGCGGAATGGGACGAATGAGGAAGAACACATTTCACGGAGGTTCAATTTATGCAGCTTTCTTTGTTTAAAATAGGTGATCACTAACTTCAGCATCAGACAATTTATCCCATTCATAGCCTACTCATTCTAATTAGCATTGCCATGAAGCCAATAATAACCTTCCAGCTTATCAGTGCAATACAACAACATGCCCTTATACAGTGCCCTCCATGCAGGGTAGCGTCTCAGAGCACTTAACATGGTATCAAGAAGTACATTGGAACCTCAATTACCCACTGTATTAATGAGCCAACCTTCCCTCCACTCTATTAGGTATTATTTGAGAGTATAGGCAGTGGAAGCTTTTTGTGGTGGGGGAGGGGAGTTGTATAAAGTCATGCAATAATTTTGCATTTTTTAAATAGTCCTTGGATTTGATATTACGCCTTATCATGTTATCAAGCTATCTCAAACCGCTTCACAGGATTTAATGTAAAGTGGTGTGTCGGAGTTGTTTTGTCAGTGAAATATCAATCTAGTTGAATGTGTGAAAGACAAAATGATTGTGGCACATAAGTGATCAGTAATTCTTAAAATTTTATGTTTTTTGCTTGATTTTGCTTTATGTACTTTGATACTGTTGATCTGATAATTGACTGTTCCGAGAGCAAATTAATAAGTGTTTTTCTAGTGACAGGTGAAATAGGATTGTTTAAAAAGAGACAAAGTCTAAAGGGAGCATATTTTGTTCAAAGTACGCATGCAAGATTCCCTCCACTCTAGTAGGTATTTGAGAGTACAGGCAGTGGAAGTTTCCATGTTGGAAAATGTAAACATATAAACTTATCTTATGTTTAATCTCTACTTAGAGTTGAATGCACTAACTTTATGTAGGTGAAAAACACTTGGGTATTATGTCCCTTGGTTTGAATAAAACTCTGTAAGAAGCTGCAGAGCTGTCAGTGTGAGAAAGCTGAATGAATATCATTACAGCCCACCATTAACCTCTGTTGAGTAGAGCAAACTTATTTAACTTTGGGTTAGTCAATCTAGGTGTTGCTATAACCACTCCTCCATGATCAATACAGAGCAAGCAAAACATTTTATAAAAATCTACAGAACACATTTGTTAGGCGGGTAACCCCTGGAATTTCAACTTGCCTGTAAGACAATTCCTTGTTTCGTCCACAAATTACACAAACAATCCACCTTTACAGTATATTCTGTGAAGCGCATTGAGATAATAAAAGTCACATCTGAAATAATGAGTCACAGGTGGACTTTTGGGTCTATTATTTTTGACAAGCGATATCGATAATGAAAATGTTAACACATTTATGTATGTTGAACGTATGTTCAAGTGTTGTATAATCAAGTGCTATATAATCCAAAACATGCATTAGATATGGTGGTAAAAAACATTTTGTATCATCCATATTTATTTTATAAAAACATTTCTTATTTTATTTTAGAAATCTTTGAGCATTCCTGCCAGCATAAGTGTAAGTATTCGATACAGAGTGCATCAGTGTTCTCAACTGTTAATACAGAATACATGAGTGTTCTCAACCATTCATTCTCCAGTTATACTACAATGAGGCTTCAGCTTGGCTCAATTGGAAGCATTCTCAGCTCAATTGGAAGCACATTCGCCTCTGAGTCAAAAGGTTCATTGACTCGCGTTGGGACTTTGAACTCAAGGTCTAGGCAATGCAACAACAACAACAAGATTTCATTTATAGAGCGCCTTTCACGTCGGGAGGACGTCCCAAGGCGCTGGACAGTTGGGTCGGGACCCGAGCAGGGGGGAAATGGTCAGGGTGAGGGGAGGGAAGGGAGGGAGCGAGGAGGGGATAGAGAGTCGAGACGGGAGCTGAAGGCACGGTTGAAGAGAACCCCAGGGGTGAGGGTGTGCTGCCATCAGAGGTGCCGACCTTCAGATGAAGAGTTAAACTAAGATCCTATCTGCCTGTTCAGGTGCATGTTAAAGATCCCGTACCACTGCTCAAAAAGAGAAGGGAGTTTCTCAGTAACAACAACATTTGCATAGCACGTTTTACGTCAAGAGGACGTACCAGAGTGCTGGGCAACAATCCCCAACTATGGCTGTTTGTGGGACAATGCTGGGTGCAAATGGGTGCTGCCATGTATATGTTTTGGGATGCCCTTCTGACACGAAAGGTATAATAAAAATGTAAATTTATATTGTACAAATACACAGTAACTACACTTTAAATACTGTGAAGTGCTTTGTTTCATCCTCTTGATGTGAAAGGTGTATTATAAAAGGCAGGGGGTATTATAACCAATCTATATGAAATGCCAGGATTATTATTATGATCAATTTCATGCCCTGCCTGTCGTTGAGCAGCTCAGAGTGGTAGCAAGAGTTTGCAATCTATTCCAAATCATTGGGCTTGGTTCTACAGATGAGTGTGCATCCAAGCTAGTAAGCCGATGCATTACACAACACTCCTTCAGGAGCACATGGATCTGTCTGTCTTGAGACCTTTCCTAAGTTTTAGTGCTCCAACAGACTGCCCATGAATTTTAAAACTTAGAAGGGAACTGAAGGCTAGATGGAGTCCCATTTTTGTTAAGTTGTCTCTGCATCAGAGATACCCACAGCCGTGCACTGTGATTAAAATCTAAAGCTACCTACTTTCGGGAGCAGGACTCAAAATCACTTAAACTGAAGCTCATGACAGTTTTCTGGGTCAGTTTAGTGCAGAAACCAAATCAAATCAATACAGATCAGTTTAGCCACATTCGTAAATTTAAGGATTATTATTATTATTGTTCGTAAAAGAGTACCAGTTTGAGCTGTTTTTCCATTCCTTTCTTACTGTCACTGCAATTCCTCTCAATCTGTTCCTCTACCTTCAGAATCCAATAAATGTTTTAAAAATCTCACTGGCACAGAAGTCGAATAATTTGCAACTGCGATTCTTGAAAGCGAGACTGACAACATTTTTGTGTGATCAGTGTTCATTAATGGGTTACAGCAGGTTTAGTAGCGCTATTTCTAGACTGATTTTGCATCTTTCTATATGAAATGTTACTGAGTCTCTAAAACTGCTTTTCTTTTCTTTCAGGATTTAACTTTGTACAGCCCTGAAAACGTACCTGTAAGTGATAAGTATCATTACATCTCCAATTTTCTAAACTCCACAGCACTGGATTAGAGAGGGGGAAATTCAGACAGGGGTTGCCACTTCTACAGATTGCTCTGTAGGGACCACTGCTCGAAGGTGGGCATGTGTGGACATTGCTAGAAGACAGCATCAAGCTCAGATAACTGTCAAGGCTTACATCAGCATATAATTCATGGTCAGATAACTGTCAAGGCTTACATCAGCAACAAAGCTACATTTGTATAGCGTCTTTCACATTGGGAAGACGTCCCAAGGTGCTGGACAATCAGTATTTCGGACCCGAGCTGGGGATTAGGATCAGGGAGGGTGGAGGGCAGGGGGTGAAGGAGGGTGATGGAAGGCATGGTTGAAGAGGAAGATCTTGAGATGGGTCTTGAAGGAGGCAAGGGAGTAGGTAAGGCAGAGGGATTGCGGGAAGGTTTACACAAGATCACAAGATTAGTTCGGATGAATAAGGTGCTTTGGTCCATCTGATCTCATCCTTCCAGAACACCCATCTAATTGTCCTTGTATCACAGCATCAATCTTTTTTTTTAAACAATTCCAGTGTCCTGGCCTCAACCACCTATCTTGACAACCTGTTCCAGTCATTAATCAGCATAAAAAAACTTCCTGAATGTGTATCTGTCCTGAAATTGCCCTTTGCAACGGTAAACCTATGTTCTCTTATTCTATTATATTGGCGCGGGTTGTCAGTAATGCTAGTATTGCTTCCTGCGCATGTGTAGTGCACAGGAAGTTACTTTACTCCCTGTGCATAACACAGGCACTTCCTGTGCATAACAACAGCGCACACTATGCAGGAAGTGATATCAGCAACACTCCCTGTGAGTAGTGCCCATACATGAAGTGACAGTCAGCGACGAACTGACAACTCAGAAATGGCCAATTTTTTAGCACGGGAAGGTAGCAGATCAGTGCAAGACTGCATGAAAACAGAGCCATACTCTGTTATGAAAATAAAGCAATTGTTGCATTGTTGGCTGTAACAAGCCTCATTATATTCAAAACTTATTGTGCATTCCAGAACTAAAACTGGTGTCAGCAGCTTTCCGAAGCTGATGTGTATCATGTGTCCAGTTATCTGATAATCTTATCCACCTGGATAGCACTGCTTTCAGCTGCTGTTTTGTTCAGCTACATGAAAACAGCAGCACTTCTCTCAAGTCTTTTGTGCAGATACTTAATGATAATAATAATCTTTGCATTTGATATAGTGCCTTATTATCTTCGAGATGTCTCAAAACGCTTCACAGAATATACTGTAGAGTGAATTGACTGCATATTTTGTGGGCGAAACCCAGCAGCCAATTGCACACCACAGTGTTCCACGAACAGTTGTGGGACCAATTTATTATTATTATTTTTTTTGAAGGAATTTCCCCCAGAATAGTGATTCGCCAATCGATGAACAACCAGGTTCCTACTTACTGTTAGGTAAACAGAGGCGTGTGGAGTAAGGAAACTTGCCTAAGATTTTGCCTGGTCGGGAATCGAACCCGGGTCTCTCGCTAGCAAAGTGAGTGCCCTAACCGCTGAGCTACAAGACTCCAAGCTAACACTTCTTCATTTAAGACTGTTTCAGCTTGTTCTGGATTCTTCCTCTCGATCAAAGAGGAAGGTCTTGAGAAGGACCTTGAAAGAGGTGAGAGAAGGGGTGGGGAAAAGGGAATCCAGGAAGGAGTTCTAGAGAGCGGGAGCAGAATGGCTGAAAGCCCGACTCCATTAGTGGCGGGTAGGAAAGTTTACTGAATGCTCCCAGGCAGTGCTGCACAGACAGGACTCCAGGTGCTGTTGAAATGCTGATTAAGCAGCCTGATTTTGAAACAAGTCCAATCTCGAGTGATAAAAGGAGGAGGAGTGATCCTGGATGTTGAACAGTTTTAAGAAGATTGTATTTGCACATTGTTCCTGTGTAGGGTAAGTTCAGGACATAGGACACACACCAATAATTATTTCAAGGACAACCAACAGCTGAAGCATGTTATCAGGAAGGATGGTAGGGGCCACGTATGCCAAACACATTTTGGAAACAGTTTGTGCTGTACTGCGAGGATGATAGGGCTGGTATTGTAAAGCATTGTGGGAATGGTAGGGCTGATATTGCATGATATTGAGAGGATGGTAGGACTGGTATTATATTGTATTGGAACAATGGTAGGGCTTGTATTGTATTGTGAGGATGGTAGGGCTGATCCTCATTCCAACCTTTAAATTGCTCTATGGTCTTCTCCACACTATTACTGCAACTTCCTCCAACTCACGTGCACCCTCTGCTCAGTGAGCACCGGACTGCTTAATGTCCCCCATCCAGTGTTCAGGCTTGCAGGGTATCTACCCCCACTCTCTGGAGCACCATCCCAGAGTCCCTACTACATATTCCTTCCCTTATCTCATTCAAGACTTTCCTCATTGACCGCACTTTCCCACCTTCCAGTTTGCCAATCCCAGCTCAGCTGCAAATGCTGTTCAGGACCTTGGGATGTCCTCCCGATGTGAAAGATGCTATGTAAATGTAAATTTCAATTTCATTGTATTATATTCTGGAAGGATGAGATGCAATGCGCAAAAGGTCCTTCTTCATACAAATCTCTCTCTTGTGATGTTGTGCCCTGCAGCCTCAGACAATTTCCTAGTCAATGCAACGCACAAACATTTTGTGTAGTTCCATTACCAGGCAAACGTGTGGCGGGCTCACTGGTGTATCTTGTCACTGTGGAAGATGTGGAATCACAAAGTGGAGTGATGGAGGACAGATAGTTATACAAATGTAATTTGTTGTTGTTTTGTTTCCTGATCAATGAAATCAGACTCAAGTTGAAATGTCAGCCTACGTAGAAAGAAGGAGAAGAAAATCCAACCTTTAAGACTTGCAGGCAATGGGGATATTTTACCTGTTCAATCAGAATTGATCAAGTAAAACAGAATCTGCTTTTTCTTTTTCAGGAGAATTGCTTTGACGCTGCCCTTCTGTGCTTCATGAAAGAAATGAAAACTTTAGAATTTGAGATGAAACTTGTCCAGAGCAAGAATCACCAGAAATTGTCAATATGTAACCAAATGTTGACGACTTATAAGAGATTACTTCATGAGGTAAGATATAAAAGCAGCATTATGAAATGCTGCTCGTTCAAAAAAATAGTAATAATAATCCTTACGTTTGGTATAGCGCCTTTCATGTTGGGAGGGCATCCCAAAGCACTTCACAGGATACACTGTAAAGTGAAGTGACTGTGGTTTGTAGGCATAAAACGGAATATATTGTAAACTGGATTGACTGTATATTTTGTGGACGAAACGCGGCAGCCAATTGCGCACAGCAGTGTCCCACAAACAGTAGTGGATTGAGTGACCAAATTATTATTTTTATAGTTGAAGGGATTAATGCTCTAAGTCTGGCAACATCTCAGCAACTGTTGAAATACAGAAAGGTTCTGGTCTTGTTTTTTTCCCTGCTAGTACCTTCCTGTAGCTTTCTATCCTTCGGTAATACAAATATCCAAAGTCAACATGTTGGAATTTCCGATCCCGAGGTTCAAATAATGACCCGACAATCCAATTAAGGTGTAAATAGAGATTTATTAATCAAAGTAACATATACAAAACCAGTAAAATAATACTGCCACTACAAGTAACAGAACTTATACTACCAGTTTTGGAGTAGTCAGTCAGTTGCAATGGTTTCAGCACACCTTTACTCCGATGGTTCGGCTGCCCTCTTTGTCTGGCTGGATCTACTGTCTTACTTGCCTAACATCAGGGTAGTTATACTTTTTCCACCTAAGGATCTTCCCCCCTTCTTCTCCAATCAAGCATCTTAGCGCATACCCAACGTACTTGACCCTTGCGCATCCTTGTACCCATATCTACTGGATAAGCAGACCCTTTTGAGACAAAGCAGCTTGCTCATTATTCTTCAACACATGACATCTTGCTTCTCCCTTCCAAGGCCGGAGCCTGTCTTTGAAACATTTAACATGATCGGCATATGTTCACAGAATACTGAGCAGCTTTACTTAGGTGTGCTCATGGAATGCAGATTTCTTGTGCCCTTCTTGAAGCCTGTTCTATGCCTTCTCTCACCATCACAACTGACTGACCGTTGGCCTTTCAGAACCAGGATGGCTTATTCTGCCAATTCCTTAAATGTTAGTAAAACAGTTTCTTTCTCTCCCTGTTTCCTACCGTCATGCATATATGGGTATTGATATACATATATACATTAATAGTGAATATATATATTCATTATTAATTCTTCTATTGCTCTTCTTACAAACTATATTAAAATCCACCTTTTCTAACAAACAGCAGCCAATAATGGAGCCGGTATGAAATTTCCTTTTGACTGGCTAAACGCAAGATAGAGCAGCAATTGAGAGAGAAGTAATGAAGCTGACATGTTACAGCACTTTGTCATGTTGAAACATTTCAAAGGACTTCATGATTCATTTCTGTCAAGTATATTGACTATTAGTATGCAATTTCATTTCAGAGCTCTGGTTAGCTGTGGACTTAGGCACTATTATTTTCAGAAGGAAATTTAAATGGTCACAGTACTGCTATGAGCTATTATTACCATTTATGTATTATTTCATATTGTCCCTCTGCTTCCATTTTGTATAATCAGCTGTTTTAGGGAGAGTGACACATGACAAATGCAAATGGTAGTGTGTGCATCATGTGATTTGCTCTCATATTTGACCTGGTGTAAACTGTGAGCATTTCTGTTGAACAAAGGGGTCCTATTCACTTATGCAGGGCTTATATAATAGCATAGATCTGCTCCTGAGATGACTACCCCCATTAAAGAATACTAAACTACACTTGTTTACGAGCCAATATCTTATCACATCAAAGCATTTCAAATGGCTTTGCGCAACAAGAGATTTTCCAGATAAAGTATCATTTTCCAGTCGAAACATTCAGAATGTCACACATGATTAAAAGTCATGCATGAATTTTTTTTGGGTCAAACTCATCACCATCTTTAAGAGTATGCAAACCAGACTGAGAGTTCCATGCATTCCACCTACCCATGGAAATTCCCATGTCTGGAATGACTCAATTTGAGGAATTTTAACTTAATAGAAGAAATATACAATTCAAATTTATTATTCATCCCTGTGTCTAAAGATGCTTTTTCTTTTACAGCTTAACGATTGCAAACCTTGTGAAGAATTCCAAGAAAAAAATGTCACATCTTTTCTAAGCGGCTTCATATCATTACTACAGCAAATTATCAAGTTTAAATCCGTAAACTAGTCATTTTATTATTATGAAGTCATTGACATTAACCAAAGGAAAAAGTGAATTGTAAATAGCTATTTTTATAAATGCTGTTTTTTTGTGTGTATTTTATATTTAACTTAAAGTGCCTGTGTTATTGTACATAAATATTTTATGGCTTTTTCTGTTATTGTATATAGGTAATTACTGATTTATTTTTCTGTTGCATATAAATATTTTTCTTGATTTGTGCAGCTGTAGATAAATATTTTGTACTGATAGTTGTCATTGTATATAAATGTTTCACTGAATTCTTTAAAATAATTTACCAGTTGTGCATATTTTTGTATATATTTTGTAGATTTTAACCATTCTCGCTTGTTAATGGCAATTAAATGAATTTTGAATTTCCATGGAAAGGATGATGCTGTTTGAATTATAAAACTGATGTGACAGACATTCACTGTGTTTTTCACTAATTGTTTCGAGTAGGGTGGTCCAGCAGTTTGGCTGGATTCCCTATTTGAGAAATGTCTAGGGGGTTGTTTAAGCAATATTTTGTGTTTCCCTTCAGAAACATCACATTTACACTGCACCTTTTTCATGTTGAAAGGACCTCTTGATACTGTCGTCTGGGCACCTGAGCTGGGGTTGGGAACCGAGGGAGGGTGGGATGAGGAGGGTAAAAGATGACCGAAAGCCTGGTCGACGAGTCAGGTCTTGACCTGCCTTGAAAGAGATGAGGGAGGGAGGGAGTGAGAGGGACTCCAGGAAAGGACTTCCAGAGAGCGGGCGCAAAATGGCAATGGTGGGGCAGATAGGTTGGGCGTACATGAAGCAAGCTGGTGTTTGCTCTGCTGGGGCGGGAGGTTGCAGAAGTAGTGAGGGAGGGTTGGAATGAAGGACATAGAGAAGTTTTTCACTGGGGAAAGAGGGAGCTTCCTGTGAGGAAACTCTACGGCACGTCATTTGGTGTTTGTCCTCGGTTCTCCTCATGGTGGCCGAGGGAACTTCCGATCGTCTGTCTTGACAGTGAACCATAAAACACTGCCCTCAATTCTCCTCTCTCTCTGCTCTCTTTTTGTTTTTCTCTCCCTCTCCCTCATGCTCTCTCTCCCTCTCCTCTCACATACTCTTTTCCTCTCTCAATTACTCTCTCTCACTCCCCCTCTCTCCCACACAAACTCCCTCTATCCCCTCTCAAATTTTCTCTCAATCTCTTGTATCTTTCTCTTCCCCCTCTCCCTCAGATTCACTCCTGCCACCCACACACTCTCCGCCTCTTTCCCCAAATCCCCTTCCCCTCCCTCCTTCCGCTCTCAATCCTCTCTCCCAGTCAGCCACGCAGGTCACTTATCTGCAGCGGCAGGGGGCCAGCCGTCACTAAAGACGTGGTTGGTAAGAGACTCGCTTGCCTTCCTGACAGGCTGCAGCAATGGCCTGTGTTATTTCCATTCACTACACTGCGTCCTCCCAATCGCCGACTTCTGCGGATGCCACAGGAGGATATTCACCAGGGAGGCAGCGGAAGTTGGAATGCTGGAAATGGTCTCAGGTTGGACCATGCTGATAGGGTATGTAGCTGAGATACACGAATGTACACTGTGCCAGCATTGCTCAGTTAGAAGTACTCTTACCTTGGAAATCAGAAAGTGGTGGATTTAAGCCCCATGTCAGGACCTGGAACTCACGTAGCCTAAGATGATGCTCCAGTGCAGTCCGGAGGTGTTCTGCGTTGTCGGAGATGCCGTCTTGTGGATGAGACATTAAACTGAGGTCCCATCTGCCTGTTCACGGGAGAGTTAAAGATCCCATGGCACTATTGGAAAAGAGAAGGACATTTCTCCCAGTGTCCAAGGCAAAGACCCCCCAAATAAAATTTTGCCTTTTGTTTTTCCCCAAATAAAATTGGTCATTGACTTCATAGCTGGTTATGTGATTTTGCTGTGCGCAAATTGGCTGCCGTGTTCATCTCCAAAATAAACAATCATTTTCTGTGAAGTGCTTTAGAAATGTCCTCCTGACATGAAAAGCGCTATATCAAATGTAAGGATTATTATCATTGCTGGTAAAGATGGAACTACAAGGTAAAATACAGTAATCTAGCATCAAATGAAATGGTCTTTATGTCAGATTAAGTGTGAGAATCTTTATTCCAATGTACAGGTGGTGAGTAAGTCAACACTTTGACACTTGTTTTACTGTTTTTCAACATATAAAATTCCCACAGACTCTGTCTAAAATTGGTTGGTTTATGCAAACGATTGTAAACTTTTTGCAAATAGTACGAATGTGCCAGGTGTCAGCCTGACTCAGTTTGTAACACTCCCCGAGGTTATGGGTTCAATCCCCATGTCTTTGAGATTATAGTCTGCGGTGACTCTCCTATGCAGTGTTGGGGGAGTTACATAGAATTACATAGAATGATGAAGCACAGAAACAGGCCATTTAGTCCAAATAGTCCATGCCAGTATATCCCCTGATAAGTCTAGCGCTGCATTGTTGAACGTGCTATCCTTTGGATGAGATGTTAAACCGAGGTCCCGCCTGCCTGTTCAGGTGGCAATTTTAGAAAAGAGAAGGGAGTTTCTGTTTATCCTTGTCCTGTCCCTTGTTCTGGCGAACAATCCTCCAGATAAAATTGGTCATTTATTTGATGGACTTGATGTTATTTGTAGGCCATTGCTGTGTGCAAATTTACTGCCTACAAATTTACTGCCTCACCACAGATTATAGTAAATCCCCTGAGATGTTTTGAAGATATATTTCGAGGGATTTGAATCAAGGTGCTAGATAAATTTTTAGATTTGAGATGTCTCGAAGACGTGATACGACCCTATATCAAATGCAAGGATTATTATTATTAGATTTGTTCTTTCACCATGCAACTTCTGTATTTGAAAACAGAAGGGAGTTTCTCCCAGTGTCCAGGTCAATAATCTTCCATGTTCTTTCACCTCATGGATGTTTGTGATATATTTCTCGTGGAAAATGGGTTTTGTGTTTGGATGCAGAAAAAAAAGACTCTTCACGTGAGAGAAATTACTTGTTAAGTCATTGCCAATGTTTTAATGTGATAAAGTGCTATAAAAATGGAAGTTCAGTCATATCAATGCTAATCCTGCATTAACTGGGAATACCTGAATGTTTTTTTTAAAGGAATTACAAGATTGAAAAAGTACTTGAAGGGTCAATTGCTGGAAAAGCCACCCATTCACCAATATCTACTTGCCATCCTTCCCTACATAACATTAGCCCTTGCACCAGACTCAGTGAGCCCATCACTCCCATCTTCTCAAGCTCAACTATCTCCCTATTCCCTGTCTGGTTGACTTTCTAAGATCCTTGTTCTTATCTTCAAATGCCTCCTCATCCTTTTCCCTTTCTGTCTCTATAATCTCCTGCGGTCCTACTTGTCCGCTCCCTCCGTTCAGAAGGCGCCGGCCTGCTCCATGTCTCCCGCATGACCCACCCTATCATCAGTGGCCTCTTCATTCAGCCTCTCTGCCCCCACCCTTTGGAACTCCATCCCACAGTCCCTTCGCCTTGCTCCCTCCTCTCTTGCCTCCTTCAAGGCACGACTCAAGACCCTCCTTTTTGACTATGCCTTCAGCCGCCCTCCTACCACTCTGCCCTCCCTCACCCCAACCCTGCCTCCTCACGCTTGGGTCCTGATCCCCGACTGCTCAGCGTCTCGAGATTTAAAGCACCGACATGAAAGGCGCTTTAGAAATGTAATTTTGTTGTTGTTAGGTCAGGTCTTCCCCCTTACCACCGGTGGCCATACTTTCAGACACTTTGATCCCTGCTTCCTAAAACTCTCCAGAACCACCCCCCACCCCACCACCATCGCCCCCTGCTGCCCCACCTCAAACAACAACAAACAACAACAACTTATATAGTGCCCTCCATGCAGGGTAGCGTCTCAGAGTATTGAAAACCTGTCTAATCGGCTTACCTCTATGACTGGCCCCTGGCATCTCCCCTCCACACTTTATGTAGGGCTCCTCTCAGAGGGCACTAAAGAAACGGAGTCGATGGTCTACATTGCGTTTCAATCATGATGTTAGTCATCTGACTCTCTGCGGAAAAACTGAAGTGTTAGGGAAAAAAATTATTTTAAAAAATTTAAATTAAAACACAGATAGGAGGAGAAAAGAAATGAGGAGAAAGAGGGGGGAAAAAGCCCCAGGAAAGCGAGGAAGGGCAGAAGAGAAAATCAAACTGGGGTTTTGCAGTTGGTCCTTCACCTCAATTTGAGCAAGTTGGACAAATCTGGACTTCAACCCCCAACCCCCAATCCTTTGACCTTAGCTCTGCGCTGATTTTGCAGCTGTTGAGATGAAAGTTGTAGCAGCAGAAGGTGAGGTGCTCAACCCAAAGCAATCTAAATAAAACATTAGTAAATGATATATAATCCTTAAAATTAGCCATCAAGAACTACTAGAAATCCCCAACTTCAACAAGCAGGAGTGTTGTTTAAAGTAAGTACACATATGGGAATCTATAACATGATCATCTATAGCATTTGGTTTCCCAGAAGTGAAGTGGTCAGATTAGGTTTAATCAGAAGAGAGGAGTGGCTGATGCTTTGCAAATCATGTGAAACAGGTTTCATTATGTTTCGTCTTCAGCATTCTCTACAAATGAATGCTACAGGGCAACATTCTCCAGGTAAGATACACAAGGAAATCAATAAAAACGAGTTACACTTATATGGCGCTTTTCACTTTGGGACAATGTTTCAATGCGTTTTATAAAGACTGACTAGGAGCCCAAGCTGGGAGTTGGGCTGGGGAATGGAAGAGTTAACTGAAAGTACAGTGAAAGGGGTAGATCTTTAGGTGGGATTTGAAAGCAAGAGGGAATGGGCAAGATGGAGGGAATTTGGGACCGAGTCCCACAAGGTGCGGCAAAGTGGCTGAAGGCTCACCCACCAATGGTAGGGTGGAGCAGCAGAGTCAATGAAGCATGCTGGAGTTGGTGGAGCAGAAAGAATGGCCAGTAAAGCTAGGAGGTTGTAGATATGATGGATGGAGTGGTCAACAATGTCAAAGGGGGTAGAGAGATTGGGGAGAACAAGGAGGCACATGGTTGCAATTGTCATGGTACTCTCCTTTCTTTTCTTTACGTGTGAATTACATGCTCCTTCCAGAACTGACGAGAGGTCATTGACCTGAAATGTTAACTCATTTTCCTCTCTCCATAGATGCTCCCTGACCTGCTGTGTGTTCCCAGTGACTTCGGTATTTATTTCAGAATCTGAGTTGTGTTAGTAGTGCTAATTCAGGAGTAAATCCAACTCAGAATCTTACTCACTCCTTGAATTTAGCTCAACCCCCCTTTTTTATACCTCAATATAATCCATGTGAATGGTTCATCCAATCATTCATTCACACCCTTTGAGACCCCAGGTGCAAAATGTCAAAGGTTCATCACCCCACTCAAATTTCTTTTCC